GTTTTTATATTATTGCCATAACATTAGATATTTTTACTGCACTGATATCCCCCTTTCAATTGTATTGGTCAGACAAACGCTGCCACGTTGCCAATCACATGTATTGAACAGTTTCCAATTTTGCGATATTAAGACCCGCTTAGAGACTCTTCACAGCGCCGCCCCCGAAAAACATCATCTTGAGATGTGTGGAGAACACAGATGTTTACTCAAAGCTTCGGTTTGGCAATACATTGGCCCATCTGGCTGGCTATATAAACATGTCTCAACTGCTGCCTGTTCACCAAAGTGTTGGAGGCGATGCCTGTAAAACCAGAAACATGGGGCCAAAAGACTTGCAGAAGTTTTTGGGGGAATTGAAATCCTTTGGCAAACAAGCAAGGAGTACACATGCGAACGTATTGGAAAAGGGGGAAAATGAAACATTGCCAGTGCAGTGGGGATACAAAAACCGCACTTGGCCAGACTTTCCGTTTCCTAGGAAATGGAAAATGGTCGAAAGAGTGGTGGTTGGGGGACTGGGAGCTTTTCCCCTTTACTACAACTGAAACATACTTCACATGCGTGTAAGAACTTTTCTGAAGCATTTGTAAGTTTTTAATAAGAAATTGTTAAACAACTTGTTCTGGATTTTTTTTCTCTCTTTAGGAGTTTTGCAGAGGCTGCTGCCGCTTGGCAGAAATTGTAGTAATTAGTCATGTTGATTGATGAACGGGCGCAATATGTGTGTGCTTGTGTTTTTACTCGCATTTCCTCTCTCTCTCTTGATATTGCAAAAATTAATTTAAAGGGCGAACAATATGTCAACGCCATTTAAACACTTTGGCATTTGCCGTAATCCCGACAGTCGAGCATTAAGAAAACTTAACCATTAAATGGGTGGCGGTGGAAAGCCAATTTTCCAAGAGCACGCTGCGGGCGGTACGACTATTAAACATCAGTGGGGAGTTGGGGTTTCCTTCTCGAGGAAGGCTTACAATGTGTGTACTCCTTGGGTGAGCAATAAAAATCCAAGGTAGAAAGGCAGCAAGGAGCAAGGATCCTGGAGCTTCCACAGAACCCACACAACCTCATCATGCCATGCCTGCGGTTGTAATTTAGTGTGCCTAATGAATTTAGTACCGTTACATACCGGAAGTGAGCATGTGAGTGCAAAAATGCGCACTCGACTGGAATGTCTGTGAATCTCTAAAGGGTGAGGGTGTGGGTAAGGGTAAGGGTATGGGTGTTACTACGTGCTGGTATTGAGGTTTTCCCTGCTTTTCCCTGTCTGTGAAAATGTGTGAAAAATCTGCGCTCTGGCAAAACTTCGTTAACCTTTATTAACGACACGGAGCGTCTAATTAAACAAGACAAAATTTTAAATCGAGCGTAACGCTTGCTCAGGTATATATACGTACCCTATATGTAGGTTCATAATTTCCCCAGCATGTGTGTGAAATGAGCAATTATTTTTAATTGCCTAGCAGGATTAAATTGGGTGCCATGGCAGGATTCAATTAATTGGCACGGAGCGAGTCCTTAAAAGTTGGCTTAGGCCAAGGCCAAAAGGCAACACTTCTGGCGCGATTGCCTAAAGTAAATGTTGCCGTTCCAGTTGGATAATATGGTTCCGCTCCAGGCGAGATGTCAACAAAACGGGGCACAATTCGCCCCAGATTAGATTGCATAAACAAAACGCGCTCAGGATATCAATGCGGATTGAAGGAGGTTCCAGGTTTCCCAAGTTACCCGGCCAGCGTGGCATAAAAGCGAAAAGTAATTTTCCTAAGTGAATATAAATGTTTAAAATCTTGCCAGGAAAAGCAAACTGACTGCTTGGCCGGAAAAGCGAACAAAATTTAAAAGGCAAAACAGTGCGGAGGCGAAGGTAGTTTAGTTTAGGTCCACTCATTGGGTGCAAAAGTGCTTAAAGTTTAATGGGAAATTCAAGTTGGCCAGCAAAACAAGGTGTCGACTTTGGTTTCTCCTGGTTTTCCTCCCCCAAAAACAAAGGCGTGTCTATTTTGTCATCTAATAGCTTAAGGGGCATGCTGCAAACTCAAGTCGATATCTGCAATCTGATGGCCGGCAAACACTTGGCACACACAATGCCTTCAATTTGCAATAACTATTAGCATAAGCATTTGGCAATATTTCGATAGACAAACACTTTGCAAAACAAACGCAAATCTGTCTCAAAAAATCTTGAACACTTAAAGTGGCCGAAAAAAGCAGAAAGCCGAGTTAACAAAGCTGAAAATCAATATAATCTTGTCACAGCCCGGGGGCAAAATTTCATCATTGTTCGGTCCTAATTAATGAGGAAAAGTCACCAATTTGAAAATCAAATTACAGCGCGCATAATTAAATTGCCTTATCAAAATTTCATTCAAAAGCGTCTGTTTTTTCGGTGAGGCTGGGTAAGAGATTTTTTTTATACTAATTTTCTAGGCAAAGGGACAGTTGACAGTAAATGCAATATGGCCTGCCGCTTTTCGGGCAAACGACAGCTAGAAGGCCAAAAACTTTTAATTGAATTCCTTTCAAATTGTACGTAATGGGCACAATTAAATTGTCACCATCAGATTGAGCGGAGGAAGATGAAGCAGCTCTTCAAGGAGCTCTGGCTGGGTAGCTCAAGTTTCGGGAAGAGAGCTTTGCTTTTTCGGAACACAAAATCTCGTATTATGCAGCACTCGAGCGCATGACAAATTCATTAAATGCACAAAGACCGTAAAGTGCCCCACTGTCCATGGACGACGGGATGGAGAGAGAAAAAAGGACAAAGTAAAGCGTTTTACAAAATTTTATACACTCCCTGACCGTAATTACACCACACACAACCAAAGGGGGTGGAGGGGGTTGCAGGGATTACAGGGTATGCAGGAGGACCAAAGGAGAACAGTGGAGGGGCGTGGTTTCGTCGAGGTGAGCCAACCATGAAATGCAACATGGCCCAGGAAGCAGCGAGCGGGTAAAAAGGATGCGAGTGTTGGTGCCATATTTATGCACGAATAGGTGTCGTATGTGTCCTTTTTTTGGTGCCCAGGATTTTCCACTCCGCTCCGCACATTTAAATTAAATTCATTTTTCCGCGTATGCGTGTGTGTCGCTAATGAAATATTTTGAACGGGCTGTCAAAAATTCTGACTCGCGCTTAATTAACTGCTCCTGATTAAGCCGCATTCAAACGGGGACTTTACGCAATGAGCACATTTTTGGCCCAGCTTATATTCCATTAAGGAATGGCAAAAGCCCAGTGTTTGTGTGTGTGTATCCTGCCTTGTATTTCCCTGCCATATAATTACGAAAATGTTTTTCACCGCCTCCAAGTCGCGCAGCACAGCCTTTTCATTACATTTCCAGCATTTTGGTGTACAGCCTGCACTCAAAATAAATTTAACCCTAAATTTTAGAAAATCGCCATTAAAATTTCTTTTTTCTAAATACAAGAAAGTTATTTCTAAATCTAAGGAAATTTTTCTTAAGTCAAGAAAGTTTTCCTTAAATCCAGGAAGTTTTTCTTAAATGTAGAAAATGGTTACCATGAACTAAAATCACCCTAAAATCTAGAAAATGTGCCCTTAAAATTAGAAATTATTTTCTGAAAAATAGAAAGGCAAACGAAAATAATAAAATATTTTGGCAACACCTTTTCTAAAAATTAGTGCCCTAACCCTAAAATGAAACCAACCCTAAATAATAGAAACATTTTCTAAAAAGTAGAAAGTTTTTCTATAAAATAGAAATAGTTGTTTTCACATGCTCTGGCACACCAAAATGTTCAATGCCAGAACTTGTCAGCTGCCGGCCGGCTGTACTCGTGGCGCAGACCGTTAAAGCACTTGGTTAGCAATCGAATCGACGCGGGTTCGAGTCCCAGAGCAAAATTTTTTAACCTTTTTTTTTTATGTTATTTTATTTTTTTTTATTCCTTTTTTTATTGATGGCAAGTGGTAAACTAAAAATAATTAGGTTTATATTCAGCTATTTACTATATACTACGCATAATATAAATTGCGTTAGCATAAATATATACATATGTATATACGTATGTAAATAAGTAAAACGCGAATGGTCAAAATTATGCAATTAGTATTCAAATGTGTTGTCCGCTTCACCCTTTACATACAATGCTCGGTTTGCCACAGCAAGTTTAAGTGCTACAATGGCCCAGTATGTAGGCCATTCGCTCCTCGCGCGGGAGACCCGGGTTCGATTCTCACGACGGACAAGTAAAAATTGTAAGTTTTTTTCATGAATATAAAATATTAACTAATCATAATTTCTACATTCCCAATCTTCCGCAGTCCCGTAGTCTTCATTTACAACCACATTTGGCTTTGGTTAGATACGAAATCCAAGCGCAAATACATAATAATAAATACATAACCTTTAACATTCACAATATACATGACACACAACGCCTGCATATGTATATAGGGAGGAGTACATAATATAAACGTATATACAAAAAAAAATCATGATTGAACATGTTTTTTGCTTTGTTTTTAATTTCTATTTTTTAGGAAAATTTCCTAATTTTTAGAAATTTTTGCCCTTAAATTTAGTAAAATTACCCTAAAATTTAGAAATATGACGTCAAAAAAAATCAAAAATATAGAAAAATGTGACCCTAAAATTTAGGGCGATCTTGTCTTGAAGACAAAAGTAGGGCGATTTCCTTGACTTTAGGGTTAATTTTATTTTGAGTGTGTCATTATGATAATGACAAATGCGATAAAGTTTTCTTCAAATTCAACTGTTACTAATTACGGAGTATGAGAGGTAAAGGGAAAATATTGTAACTTTAATACGAAAAGGGTAATTCAATAATGCCTATAGGTAAAAAACATTAAGTGGCTTAAAATTTAATAAAAATAATTAAATAAATATGATAAAGATAATTATTTTAGTAATTTAAATTTAATTATACGTATTAATTTAAAATAAAATAAAAATAATTTGAATGGCTGTAACACATTTCTAATTACCCCATTTATTTTGCCTACTTTCAGTTCTAACAATATACAGGGAGGACCATTGAAGTTGGCCATCATGAGTCGACTTAAGGCGGCGTCGCTCCTGCTGATCCTGCAACTCTTCCATTGGATGCCATCAAGTGAGGGATCCTTCGGCAGGGACGCGTGCAGCGAGATAAACCACAAGGGTCAATGTCAGTGCTCACCCATCATGTCCGAGTATGAGGTGAACTGCCCGGCAAACTCGGAGAATCCCACCTTCAGGCTAACCATCCAGCCGAATGACTATGTGCAGATCATGTGCAATCAGACGGACAGCAAAGACTACAATCAGTTGCCACCGGAAGTGCGGATTGGCGAGGTGGACAGGGTGCAGATGAGGCGGTGCATGTTGCCGGGTCTCGCGCCCGTTGCGACCATCCTGGATTATCTGGGCATAGTCGTGACCAAAACGCTGATCTTCGAGAGCGATAACCTGGGTATGAATATCACGCGGCAGCACTTGGACCGTCTGCACAGTCTCAAGCGTTTCCGGTTCACCACCCGCCGGCTGACCCACGTTCCCGCCAATCTGCTCACCGATATGCGGAACCTAAGTCACCTGGAGCTGTGCGCAAGTATCGAGGAAATCCCCATGCACTTGTTCGACGACCTGGAGAACATCGAGTTCATCGAATTGGGCGGCAATAGGCTGAGGAAAATGCCGCGTGGCATTTTCGGCAAGATGCCCAAGCTGAGGCACCTGAACTTGTGGAGCAACGAGCTGCACAATCTAACGAAGCACGATTTCGAAGGTGCCACCTCGGTGGTGGGCATTGATATCCACGATAATGGAATCGAGCGGTTGCCGCACGATGTCTTTGCCCATCTCACGAATCTCACGGATATCAATCTGAGTGCCAATCTCTTCCGTTCACTGCCCGAGGGTCTGTTCGAACACAACAAGCACCTGATCGAGGTGCGCCTGATGAATAATCGTGTGCAACTCGCCACTCTGCCTTCGCGACTCTTTGCCAATCAGCCGGAATTGAAGGTCCTGCGGCTAAGAGCCGATCTGCAATCGCTGCCCGGTGATCTCTTCGAGCATTCCACCCAGATCACCAACATCTCGCTGGAGGATAACCTGCTGAGCACCCTGCCCGGCACTTTGCTGGAACATCAGGAGAACCTGCTCAGCTTGGATTTGAGCAACAACCAGCTAACCGAACTGCCGGATTCACTTTTTGCGCATACCAAAAAACTGGAGGATTTGCGTCTGGAGAATAATCTTTTAACCAAAATTAGCAGGTAAATATCATAATTGATAATTGTTTTTGAGTTAAAACAAAGACATTGTTGAGATTGCACAGAAAAAAAATGTATAAAAGATCAGATTGATATGTGCTGGTCAATTTTATATTTTTTCAAATCATTTTGATATGAATAACGATTATGTTTATATTATTTGGTATTTTATATGATATGATATTATCATTGTGATATATTTGAATCATAAATTTGACATTAATCTTATCTGCTAATAGACTAAAGCTCCCTTAAATTGGCATTTTATAGTTTATTTATTTTCTTTACTAATTAAACCATTTTTTTCCAATTACAGCGATTTATTCAGCGGCTTGGGCAACCTGGTGACCCTGACCTTAAGCAGAAATCGTCTGCGAACCATCGATACCTTTGCTTTTACTAGAACTACTGAGCTGCGTCACTTACATTTGGATCACAACGACATTGACCTGCAACAACCTTTGTGGGGCACGGAGCTTCAGGAGGAGCTGAACTCGCCGTTTTCGTCGATGTCCAAACTGTTAACTCTCAATCTGCGCAATAATTCGATCATATTCGTCTACAAAGACTGGAGGATCATTATGAAGGAGCTGAGGCAGCTGGACTTGAGTTACAACAAAATTAGCTCGCTGGATCACAGCGATCTGCAATTCCTGTCAGTAGGAGGGGTGCACGTCAACATGACGCACAATAAGATACGATCCGTCTATTTGAATGAAAACTACGAGGACGGGGCTAGAAATCAGGTGCATGTGGATCTCAACGACAATCCGCTGGACTGTTCCTGCACACTCCTCTGGTTTGTCCAGCTGGTCAAGGGCGCCCACAGGCCGCACTATGCCAGGCAGTACAAGTTCCAGACAGACCGATTAATCTGCCAGCAGCCGAATAATCTGAGGGACACTCCAGTGCGGCAGGTGGATCCGATGCAGCTGCTCTGTCCACTGGACCAAACCGATGATCCGCGGGAACGGAAGTGTCCACGTGGCTGCGATTGCATGGTGCGAACTTACGACAAGGCGCTCACGATTAAGTGTAATAGCGGGAACCTAACGCATGTTCCTCACTTGCCCCATTTGAACGAAGGTCTGCGGCTGATGGAACTCCATTTGGAGAACAACACGTTGCTCAGGTTGCCATCGGGCAACACACCCGGCTATGCGAATGTGACTAGTCTCAATCTGGCTGGCAATAACCTCACCCACCTGGATGTGGAGCAACTGCCGCCGCATCTCGCCCACCTGGATGTCAGTTGGAATCAGCTGCAGACCCTCAACGCCACCGTGCTGGGATTCCTGAATCGCACAATGAAGTGGCGATCGATGAAGTTGTCCGGCAATCCATGGATGTGCGACTGTGATGCCAAGCCACTGTTGCTCTTCACTCAGGATAATTTCGAGCGGATCGGGGATCGCAACGAGATGATGTGCATGGATGCAGAGGTGCCCACAAGGATGGTGGAGTTGTCCACTAACGATATTTGTCCCGGGGAGAAGGGCGTCTATATTGCCTTGGCCGTGGTGATTGCTTTGACTGGTTTGCTGGCCGGTTTCACGGCTGCCCTGTACTACAAATACCAGACGGAGATCAAGATCTGGCTGTATGCCCACAACCTGATGCTGTGGTTCGTCACCGAGGAGGAGCTGGACAAGGACAAGAAGTTCGATGCCTTCATCTCGTACTCGCACAAGGATCAGAGCTTCATCGAGGACTTTTTGGTGCCGCAACTGGAGCACGGGCCGCAGAAGTTCCAGCTTTGTGTTCACGAACGCGACTTCCCGGTGGGTGGCTACATTCCGGAGAGCATTATGCATTCGGTGGCGAATTCGAGGCGTACCATCATCGTGCTCAGCCAGAATTTCATCAAATCGGAGTGGGCACGTCTCGAGTTTAGGGCAGCCCATCGATCGGCTTTGAACGAGGGACGCTCCCGGGTCATTGTGATCGTTTACTCGGACATTGATGATGTGGAGAAGCTGGACGAGGAGCTGAAGGCCTACCTGAAGATGAACACCTATCTGAAGTGGGGCGATCCGTGGTTCTGGGATAGGCTGCGATTCGCGATGCCACATCGCCGGCCCGTGGGAAATATTGGCAACGGAGCGCTGGTCAAGACGGCGCTGAAGGGATCCACCGATGACAAGCTGGAGCTGATTAAACCGTCACCGGTGACGCCGCCGCTGACCACGCCGCCGGCGGAGGCCACCAAGAATCCGCTGGTGGCGCAGCTAAACGGGGTCACTCCGCATCCGGCCATAATGATTGCCAACGGCAAGAACGGACTGACGAATCTCTACACGCCCAATGGCAAGTCGCATGCCAACGGGCACATCAACGGCGCCTTCATCATCAACACGAATGCCAAACAGAGCGACGTATAGGACTGGGAGAAGGCGGAGCTATTCCAGTTCGATCCCGACGATGAGCTATTGTTCCGTTGAATAGAGACGAGCGAAGAAGCCTCCTCCTCCTCCTCCTACCCAGGAATCACTGCCACTGAGAAGCGGTGAGGCGGTGGAAAAGAAGCACCCAGCTGAATGTAAAAAGTCTAGAGAATATTATCGATTTCCTTGTGTTTCGTCGTCCCTTCTAGGTTTAATTATCCTGCGCTTGTAGGAGCTCCGGGAAAAGTTAATGAAAATTTCAAATTTCAATATTTCATGTGGCCTTTGTTAACGAAAAAATGAAAAACAAAAAAATATCTTAGTTTGAGAAAGGTAGAAAGGAACGGCGGACTAGTTTTACCACATCACTCTGTTTTAAGTGTTATATGTAAGCTTAGCCTAAACAAACCCTGTGCAGACTCTTGTAGACATATAAATCTCATTTATTTAGTAATTATTTGTACATTAGGATTTACTGTAAGAAGATGCCCCGCATGCAAGCAAACTGAGAATAGCTCAATGCTGGAATAATTGTTTGAAATGACCACTTTTATTTACGAATATGACTTTTTTGAACAGAATCTCAAACGAACCGAAGGGAATCTGACTTTTTTTGAACAAATCGAGCTTTATTTCGAACTACCTACTTATTATTTGTTAGAACGCAGTATACCCACTAAGTAAAAACCACTTGCAATACACATATGACGTATCCAAATAGTAGCATAGACTCTGTAATTGTGAACAAACATAGCAAAAGCAGCCGAAATGAAATACAAATTGCCTTCTTTGTAATGTATGTATGTATGCTAGATATGTAGAGCCTAAGGATTCATAATATTCGATTGCATACACAAAGCCACCCTCCTCCTCTCTGTACATAAGCTGGATAAGAATTTCTGTACTTCTTCGAAAAACGTATCGCACCAGATTTCCTACTCACCAAGCCACAACAACTACTATCACTAATATCAATTGTATTCTCACGCCCATTTAAATGACGCTATATAAATAAGTACATACCGAGGAGTACATACCCCATTATCACGTCATCTACCAAACAATTAGGTTAGCCCCTCATTCATACGAAACCAGAATATCGTCTATATGATACGTAAATGTAATTAAGCTAAAGTATGTGTATATCGTCTAAGCTATAGATTGTCTCTGATATGTAATACCTAAGGTACCTACAAATTTATGCAGACACACTCATCTACCCTGTAATGCATATGAGTAAATTAAATCTAATTGTATATGGAAAACACATACAACGCAAATAAAATATATTTTAAAAATTTAATCCAGTTTTTATTTGGTTATTGGGTAATCCATTCAGTAAAAGGTAAGTTAGTTCGTTTATATATTTTTTTTAAGATTTTATTAAATATGTATACATTTAAAATTGTACATTTAGCCGTTTTAAATATGGCTCGCCTTAATCAACTAAAACAACACAAGACACAAACAAAAAAGTAAGTACAGATTGCCTTAGAATAAAATACAAATCGTTTCAGGGGAATACCATACGAATTGCAACCAAGCTGCACTTGAAAATGTTTAAAATGAAATCACATATTTAATGGAAGGAAAAAAGCTGCTGCTGCGCTATATAGGTTATATATCTAGCCTTCAGCGAAAATACGATTTAAGCAATTGTCCTTTGCAATTCTCTGGCGAATGCAGGCCGCATTTATCTATAGCTATAGGTACGGGTTAGGTTTCTGGGATTTTCCATTACATACGAAGGGTATATAAAATATATAATGTGTGTATATATATGGTTCCGTTAATTGGTTTGCGGTAAGTCGTCGTTGTAGCCTACGCGTATTGTACAATTTTATATCAGCAGTTCGCCCCCTTCTAATTCTTACTTGCCTACTACGGTTTTCTTTAGTTTTTTGGTTTTTTCTTATTTTTTTGTTTAGCTCACAATCAGTTCCAGTTTTCAGTTATGTCTTTGGTGTTCTATGTTACTCACTTTGGGATCTTTCGTGTCTTTAACTAGCTACCCCCCGCTTCCTTCGCTCCACCACCAACTTGTGACCCATGCTACCCTTGCTAATGGCTAGGAAGGCGTTTGACGACGACTTGGTTTGGTTTGGGCCCACCTAAAGCAGCATGTCATCATCACTTTCGGTAAACTCGCCATTGGGCTCTAGCAGCAGGTTGGCCTCCTCATTGGACTGCACCTGCATGGAATAAATAGTTAAAAATACAGAGCTCAGTAAACCGAAATAAAATAATTAACAATTTTTTGAATAAATTTGGCAGTAACAATTTGTTAAAGAAAAAATTCAAGAAAATTATTTATAATTAACGAGACTAAGAAGACTTTAAGTAAAATATTTAAACTATCCAAAGATTGCCTTTATATTTTATTAAAAATATTTTAACTATTCCGGAGTAAAATTTTACTTTAAGAAAACAATTTATAAATTTAAAAATTTTGTTTCTATCTTATTTTTATTAGTAAAAATAAAATTTAATAAACTCTTTGTAAATATAGAGATTAAAAAAAAATTTTAAATATATTCGACGTTTTATTAATATATTTTTCATTTTAAATACGACATGATAAGGAATTTCTTAATTATAAGCCACTTACCCTTGAGTATCTCACCGCCGAGTTGCTGCGCCGGAAGAGGCGACGGACGCGCTGCCTCCGCGCGGGCGAGAAGGCAAAGAGGCCCACGCAGGTCACACAGAAGGTCACCGACAGGATTGCCGCCAGGATGGCTGAAAAAGCGAGGGACAAAGAGGCGGATAAGTGACGCATTCAAAGGGGAATCACACGTTCCAGCTGCACTTACTGCCCACGGAGGCCGTTGGCCCGATGGGAGTAGCCGCCGGATCGGGAGCAGCTGTTGTAGTCGTTGTTGTCGACGTGGCCGCCTTGGTTGGCTTACCCGCTGGCGATGCCGGAGTAGTGGTGCTGGTAGTGGTGGATGTGGAGGAAGAGGTGCTCGTACTGGAGCTACTGCCCGATCCCTGGCCATCCTGCTGGTTGCTGGTTGCCCCGCCAAGGGAAAGGAACTCACAGATGCTCGGCGTTCGCTGCACATAAAGCAAATTGCATTGCTGGTCCTGCAAGAAAGCGGATTCGTGTAATTAGAAACTTTCTTCATTAAGGGCTGGGCGCAAAAATAAATAAATAAATTGATATGGAGACGGGTGGGGTAAGGGCATAAATTCCAAGTAAAATACGAGTGGTGGACCCCCGGGACAGCAGAGAACAGCAGAAGTTCGTGGCGCAACAACTGCTTGCAGCTTGTTTCCGGCATCCTGCCGCCTGGCTACAACCAGAACAAAAAAAAAGAGAAACCCTTGCTGTGTGTAACACTTTCACCCAAAGACAATTTCCGGCGCGACCAGCGACTGCAAAATGAAACAGCAAATGTGCGCATAATTTAAAAACTTTTGCGGCGCAACTGCAACTGGCAACTGCAAGTGGCGGGGCAAAAACGCTCGCTGGCTGCCTGGCTGGAAAGGCGAGATGGAAAGGCGAGCTGGCTGGCTGGCAGAAACTTTCCCGTCACGCGGAGGCGCCGCACCAGACACGAACATGTCCGCGAGGAGAACGGGGTGGCTGGGTGGCCACCGGGAGGACCAAGGACGAAACGGCGGGGGGCAACGCATTAAAAAGTTTGCAGCCATTTAAAATCCCATTTCATTGAATCGCTAATTTTCCAACAGCGTCGCTGTATAGCAGTAGCTACTGCCAGTACCAGGAGCCGTGTACACAGCTCCCCTTTGTTGCTACCCAAAAAGTTGTCCTTCGCTGTGTATATATAAATAGTTTGCTATAAATGCACGCGTACACTGGGAAAAATTGACAATAAAGTGGAACAAAAACTTTGGCAATTGTATACATATAAGTGCCATTCTCTATTGAATCATGGTCAGATTTAATGTCCTTTAAATTATATTATCAAAAATATATTGTTTTCAAAGCGTAAATAAGTATTATTTTAATTTTTAAATTATCCACTAGAGTCTAATGACTAGATAAACTATAATTTTAATTATTTGAACTACCGAAATTTGCTAATAAAAAATTGTTTGTTCCAAAAAACGGTATTTTGAACTTTAAAATATTTTTTCCTAAGCGAAATTATAAAAAGTTTAATTTATTTTTCCCCACATAATGTAAACAAAAATAATTATAACTTTAAAACTATTCTTTAAGTGTACAACACAGCGCTATTTTCCGCTTTTCAGTTCAAGGATTAAAGCGTGTTGCGTTATTTCAGCGAGAAGAAGCTTTCCGTTACCCCCTTTTCAACTTCCGTTCCAAGCTGACCGGAACATCTTGTTCGGCTTAACCTGTTGAGTTGGCTAAATTAGTCAGATGTATTAGCCGTGTGGAACAAGGAATTGGAAATATTAAAGATCCCAGGGAGCGTGTCAAGCAATTAACATCATCGGATAATATATACATACAGAAGAGGCAGCCACACAAGTGGCAACCCAAACTCTAGAGGCAGTGCCTCGATTCGATTGTTGGCTAAAAGGGGGGTGGTATGTGGACAGGGGGATGTCAGAGGCCACAGCCCGCATCTGTGACATCACGACCCAACCATCCCCCAATGGCGATCGCATTTGGAAACGTTTGTCGGAGGTGGCAAACAGCTTGCAGCCGGTTTAAATTTGGGTCAATTGCCTGGGTGCCGCAAATGCAAAATCGAAGCCAAATTGGGTCGGCTGTCTGGATCGAGTTTCGAGTAAAACATAAAACGACTGGCAAATATTTTCAATCAAACAACGGTGTTTCCTCGGGCGTAATTTCTGCGTAATGGACTACAAATGCGGTTGTCGAGTGTTTTTGGCGGAATTTCGGCAGTTTTGCAACCTCAAGCACTAATTGCGAAACGTTTTTCCTGGCAGTGGCAGAGGCTAATGCAATTTAGACCCCGGTCCTCACTAATTACAATGCATTGTGCTTGGCAAAATGCGGGCGAAATATATTTTAGCAACCTGCGGTTAATTGTCGCCCAAGCAAAACAAACAATTATTAATTAGCTTAAAGAGAGAGAGGGAGGGATTGTGGGGCATGCATGCTAATGATGCTGGGGCCTTCTAGAGAAGCCACAACAAAGTCCAAAGGATCCTTGGTCATTAGTCAAAGTGCTGCAGGCGGTGAATGCAACTTAATTATATTATTACACACACACAACAGAGAAGAGAAGGTGCAGTACAAAAAGGGCAGGCTTGTAATTCAATTTACTACTACCGCCTGCTGGCATGGCACACGCACAATGAGAATCCTTGGTTAATACCCGAACCAAAAGTGCTGGGGTCACCTGGTCAATAAATGAAGGGGTCACAATGCGAGCACAATGAATGCATATCTCTACATCTGATCCGAGAAACGGGGTCACCTGCATCCCCGCATTTGATGACAACAAAGACTGGGGCGACACGAATGAACCCGGCGGAACAAAAGCTCGGCTAAGAACAGGTGAAGGTATTAGACAAGAAGCAAGAAATGCAAAGCAAACCACCGCAAAAACAGAAAATATGAAAAGACAAAGGACAAAAGGGCTGAGAATGAGAAGGATGCACAGGCAAAGCCGATTGCCA